TGTGTGGACCATGGTCCATACAATAATTTGCCGTTCACACCCCATGACATACCATTATAAACTTCAAGGGGGCGTTTGGTTCACATCATCTTTGATTACCTAGGTAATCTGAGTTTAGTAATGTTATATTACCTTGTATGGTTCAAGTTATGAGATTACCTGGTAATGTTATATTACCTGAAAGTTGATGTGGCGGTAATGTTTCAAGGTAATGTGATTACCACCATTTTCTTAGGTAATCTTAGATTACCTTGAATTATCCCAACTTTACCCTTGTTAACTAATCCTTATAATAATAATGATAATGATAATAATAATAATGATAATGATAATAATAATAATAATAATAATAATAATAATAATAATATCGTTAAACAATAAAATATACATGTGTATATTTATATATTTAGTTTTTTAATATTTGAACATTGATATACATTCATGCATATAAATAAATAAAATAAAATAAATACACACATAAATAATATATGTATGTGTGTAATATATATACACTATATATATATATATATATATATATATATATATATATATATATATATATATATATATATATATATATATATATATATATATATGAAAGGGTTCAGGTGCGGTTGATGCTTCCCGTGCGGTTGGACGCACCTTAATTAAGTACACAAATCACCACGCACCTTAAGTCCACAAATCACCACGCACCTTAAGAACACAAATCACTTACCTTAAATACAAAAATCACGCACGCTAAGCACAGAACAAAGCACATTGAGCACAAAACTCAAACACTTAAGATTTTAAAATGTCTCACATTAAGCACAAACTCACGCACATTAAGTACAAAACCTACGCACATTAAGTACAAAACCTACGCACATTAAGCACAAACCTCACGTGCATTAAGCATTAAACTGACGCACTTTATGTTTTAACTCACAGACTTTAAGTTTCAACAACTACTAACATTAATCACTCACCCCACGCACATTAAGCACAAACTTGAAACTTCACTCACCTTAAGAACAAATCTCACGCACCTTAAGCACAAAATCCCACACACTTTAAGTTTAACAACTATTCACATAAACACAAACACACGCACATTAAGCACAAAACTCACGCACATTAATCACAAAACCACTCACTTTAATTTTGATGTAGATGCAAAAATTACAAAATTGTCACCACGTTTTTTTTTTATTTTGGTAATTTTGGACGTTGATTAAAGCGAGATGAATGGCTCAGATTAAACTGCACCTGAAGCGCTCACCCGCACAAGAACCGATTTCTATATATATATATATATATATATATATATATATATATATATATATATATATATATATATATATATATATATAAAGAATATTATTGTAAATTGATCCATATAATCTAAAATATAACTCTTAACTAAACAAGGTAATGTTATATTTCACAATTCAAATTAAACACATAAGGTAATCTTATATTCCGATAATCTCACATTACCTTTCTGGAGATAATCTTATTAACTGGGTAATCCAAAATTCCGTGAACCAAACGCCCCCAAGTGTTATGCTGAAACCGTCCCTAAGTCAGATCCAGTCAGATTGTTCCAACGAGATCCCAACAGAATAATAAAACAGATAAATATGTGAATTCTGTACTCCTTAATAATAATAGAATGCCGCGAGAATTCATTGAGATGAAGAGTTTTCCTTTTATAGCAATTTCCTTTAACAAACATTCCAAACCAAAGCCTTTCCATGCGGTAGGAAATATTCTTTCAACAAATGTCATCCACTCATTATTTTAACCAGCTTAATACCAAAGCAAATCTTTTAATTTGTAAACCACGAATTCCTTTCTTTGTTTTTGACTATAGATAATTAAAACTTTGATAGGAGTTGGTCCACTTGACATATCTCTCCTTTTGGCAATTTATTTAGCAAAAACTAAGAAACATATAAAACTTTGGGCAAAGAACAATACCTTAATCAATTAATTTCATAATAATAGCCCTTAGTATATATGCTTGACAAGAAATCCTATGATTTTAGAATTTATTGACAATTACTAAGACACTTTGGACCATGCTCCATCCATACAACTTCATACTCAACAAGCAAGCTGTATAGAGATATCTTCCAACAAAATTTCAATGTTTGAAAGTCGATCAATAATAAGAGACAGACAAGCTAAATAAAAGCTTAATCAAGCAGGAGAAATTACCCACATTAGCATATTTCCAAACATACCAACACAAGACATACTTCAACCAAAGATCGTAATTCTCCCCCTTATTCCAACCATACTCCCCCTTAGTCAGGGACGGAGCCAGAAAAATAATTGAGCGGGGGCGAAGTTTAAATGACGGTTAGAAATATCAATTACGAAATATCTAACAGTCATAAGGTTAAAATACAAAATATATTATAATAGATTGCAATAGAATATTTTTGATAGATTAAACGATAGTTATAGTCGGAGCAAAAAATATACTTGAGTGAGGTGAAAATGTAAAAATATTTATGACAAAATATGAAACATAATCAATTCGATAAAATAATTTGAATAAAATGAAGTATAATATAAACGTGTATACTACATTACTACATTAATTAAATGATTCATAAAAAATAAACTAAAAGAACATTTAATTTGTTAATTAAATTATTCATAAAAGTAAGCTAAAAAATATTTATCTTGAGAATGAATGAGATATAAAATAAATAAGTGAAGATAAGGAAAAGTGTTTGTAATGAGATTTGAACCTATGACCATACACTTTTTTAAAAATCAAATTTAAAATTTAACCAACTAAGCTATTCTAACTATTAATACATTAAACATAAATATAAATTTTATATAACATTTAATGCTATATATGTTTATATATACATACATATATATAAAGGGGTGGGGTGGGGGGAGTGGGGGCAGCTGCCCCCATACTGACTCCGTCTCTGCCCTTAGTACATACTCCCCCTTTTTGCCAATAAATTGACAAAGGTGAACATATATATTAGTGGATTGAGTTTGAAGGAGTGCCCAATTGGACTGAGTCTGACGGGGTACCCAATTGAACAGATACTACACTGTAATAGAGTCAGTAGCATTCAAAAAAAAAAAAAAAAAAAAAGCCTTTGAATAATTCAAGAAATTACAAACCTGTTCCTAAAATATTAGCAAACGTTATTAGATTAAAATAAATAAAATTAGAAATTTACCTGTTAGTGGATTGAGTCTGACGGAGTGCCCAATTGAACAGATACTACAATATAATAGAGTCAGTAGCATTCAAAAAAAAAAAAGCCTTTGAATAATTCAAGAAATTACAAACATGTTCCTAAAATATTAGCAAACGTTATTAGATTAAAATAAATAAAATTAGAAATTTACCTGTTATTCTTAATTGCAATCCTTAATCAGCATGTTTGCCAATTATCATTTTGCCATTCTTGAGAGGCTTTAAGAATTGATTGAGAGAATAAAATTTGTTTTCCTAACCCAAATTTGTTTAGTAAATGGAGTGATATACTTGTGCTATTTTTCAGTCCTTTGATCCTTGTAGAAGTAATAACATTCGGGTCTGATATGACCACGCAACCTGCAATAATGGCAAATGGGGTTATAAGACTTGTAAAGATGTTTATTTTGCCATACTTTACCATGATTTTGTCTCGCTGAACTTGACTCAGGAATACCTTCTGGATCTGATCCAGAAGCTTTAACAAAGACAGTTTTGTCTTTGTTGTTGCCACCGGTGAAGCCTATGCCAAATTCTGTAGATGATTGTCTTCCTGAATCGAGAATCTCGTCAAGAGTCGAAGTAGTGTCCACCATTTGGATTTGCTTTTTTAGGGTGTTCAGTCGTTCCTGGTTCAGTGCCTTTGCTTCCTGCTTTAGCTTCTCTTCTCGGTCAGAAGCCTCTTTAAGTAACAAATCCCTATCAGCTACATGATTCTTATACACTTTTCTAGTATTGTCTAATATTCATATTTCACTAGACAAGGAACGATTAGCTTTGAGTAATGCTTCCAATTTGGAATACAATTTTTTATATTCTACTTCATAAGATAAAGCAGGTAAATCAAAATGTTCAGCTGAGGTGTATTCGCCTCCTTCTGGGTCATCAACATATTCAGAGGTTTGAACGTTGAAGGCAACAAAATTACTAGATATTTCTTTTACGACAGATCCAACGACTTTTGACTCAGATTCATTGTCACTCCAGGTTATGGCTACATAGACTTTTTTCGCCTTAGATAAGTGGCGCATTCAGCTTGAACGTAACCAAAGCCTTCACACTCGTAACATCTAATCCCCTTGTTGCTGGACTTGTTTTTGGAATAGGCTGGACGAGGGGTAGAAGACTTATAATTTGACGTGTCAGATTTGGAACCATTTTTTGATGCATTCGAGCTTGATCCTTTTTGAAACTTGTTATTTCGAGAACTCTTTTGTGAAACCTATTTCAAAATTTTAGAAAATTGTTTAGTTAAAAACTCAATTGGATCATCACCTAGTTCGTCTGGATCAGAGGTAACATCCTGTTCTTCAGCGGCAAAAGCTACGCATAAACACTCCCTGAAATCATGCATAATTCCAAAAAATAATATATTGCCAATTTTAATTGCACATACTAATTGCGGGACTACCCTTGCCCATATAATTGATAAGGAAATTCAAAAATAATGCTATCAAATCCTAGGCATTAGTGATGGGACAGACTTATGGTAAGGGTAGACAAACATGAATAATGGCCTATATATCTATGTATTCCATGCACTCCTCTGTGTATAAATTTGTGCTTCCGTGACACTTCTTATGCAACGGATCGGACAAAATTTTTTTGATTGAAAACTTACGTGTAAAGTATTCCATGCACTCCTCTATGTATAAATTTGTGCTCCCGTACCCAGTACGTGACACTTGTTATGCACATCGGACAAAAAATTTTGATTGAAAACTTACGTGTTAACTGTTCCATGCACTGCTGTGTGTATAAATTTGTGATTCCCGCGGCACTTGTTATGCACCAGATCAGAGCATCCTCAAAATGAAGACCCTAATCATTCTCTGCATCCTCTCCGTTTCTTTCCTTCCGCTCTCCATCTCAGCTTTTCGTCCGCACATCCGCCTCCCCACCCAGGAAGACTACCCCGGAAACCAGCCCGTGCTAGATGTAGACGGCGACCCGCTCATTTACGGCAACAAATACTACGCCTCTCCGAACTTCAACCACATCCTCGGCGTCACAGGCGGCATAAGCATGGACACTTACCTAATCCAAGGAACCGGCCAATCTACTTGCCCAAACGCCGTAGTTCTTAACATCAGCGTCGTCAGCCGCCACACTTTCGCCGAACCCCTTCCCATAGTTTTCTACCCCCTAGGACTCCAAGAAGTCAAGGAAAGCCTCCCACTGAACGTGGCGTTCTACCTGGAAGAGTCGGATCCCTGTGCTAATGAAACGGTGTGGAAGCTCGTCGAGCGGTCGGGGAAGCCGGTGATAGGGACCGGCGGCAAAATAGGTGACCAAGATGATATTTCCAACTGGTTTAGGATCGAGAAGAGTAAGTATAATAATAATAATGAGTATGTTTTCACCTTCTGGCCAACCCTTTGCCCTCACTGCAGCATTAATTACTGGCGTATTGGTACCGTCGACGGAAAGGGTCGTCAATTGGGAATCAATGATAAAGATCCATATCCTTTTATGTTCTATAAAGCAAAGTAGGCTGCTGCTTTGAGCTGATGACCACCAAAAATCATGCATGGAATATATTAACATATAAATAATGGCGTCTGTACCCGTACCAGGTTCATGGAATCACGGGAAGCCTATGCATGCAACAGTTTTTTGGTGAAGTAATAAAAATAATTCCGTTTACTTTTTTTTTTTTAATTTTATTTTTATTATATTTTTTGAGTGACGAGGGTAACGCACAGCTCTACTTTGTGATCTTAGTCAGTGAAGAATAACAAAAAGATAAATTAGTTTAACTTGCAGTCATAAAAGAGGTAAATCAATTTAAGTTACTCATATATTGCTGACGGCTCAAACCAAAAAAGCTTAGTATTCGAACTTGTGATATTGTAGTTTAAATTTTGAAAATGTTTGGTAAATAATTGTCAGCTGATAGTGGTTTGTTGCAGGAACTTGGAGCAGTGATTTGCTCAAAATCGCCAATTTTGCAAAAGCTGTATAGAGGAGCTCTTCTTTTAAACATTTTTGATGTACCATAACAAATTATCACACATCATTTACAAATTAAAGGCGTTCCACGTCTTCCCTTTGTCTTTTTTTTTTTTTAGAAAAATTATTTTTATTTTATATATGATTTTATTTTATTTTATATATGACGTATGCAAATTTTGCTGATCTAAAATACTATATGTACGATCATTTTCTATTCTTAACTTTTGGAAAATACTTAGTGTATTTGTAACTTTTACTCCCTCTCACATGCATGTTCTTACACTTTTCTGTGGATCCACATGATTGAAAATTAACCAATCATTGTTTGTCATCTCGCGAGTACAAGCAAGGGACTAGAATTTGAAGGAATAAGATTTAGGAGTCCATGTACTAGAACTCTTTTTTTGAATAATCAAATTTAAATGGATTACTACTAAATAGAAGTCTAATTATAATTTTTTTTTTTAATTCCAATGCTGACTTATACTTTTTTTTTTTTTTTTAATTCGATTACCTAATTCCAATGGTAGTAATATAATTAAATTACATTGTACATAGTATATATAACTTTGTTAAGTGCAAATTATAGGCAAAAATTTGTGTGGGACCATCACACAGATCTTTGTCCGTCAGATGTGTCGAGCCAGTAGGAAAATATAATATATATATTAGAAAATTTAATACTTATTAATAATAAAGTCTTTACATGATCCCCAATCCTAAGACACTCCTAGCAGCTATACAAATAATATAAAGTCTAACCATCAATATATAAAAATTGCGGAAGCTAACATAAGTGTAAGGGGATGTCATGCCACATCTAGGCCATCAACCTAGATGCACAGGTTAAAACAAAGTTAACTACAAATCCAAAGTCATCATTATCCAAAATGGCTCACAGGCCCAAACATCTAAAACTAGATAAATAAGCTAGTCTAAATCGGGCTCCATCTAACGCGCTCTCGGGTCACTAACTGCACCTGAAAACATAAGGTTAGACAACCGAAACAAGTCAGATATGCACATAAGGATTTGAACCGCAGATCTCTCTCACCAAGCACTGTTCACCCGCATTATCATTATTCGCAAAGAAAGAAAAAGAGGAATCGTGGTCGGCTGGAAAAAAGGATACTAGGATATTCTTATCCCAGTAATTTTCTCTCACTTTTAAAAATGAATCTTACTTTTACATCATCAATTTTGTAAATTATCTCCTATTTGTTCTACATTCCTGTAATATTTTCTCACTTTCTAAAATGGTCTCACTTTCATATTATAATAAATATAATAATAAAATAATATAATAAAGAGTAAATACCAGTTAAGGTCCCTCGAGTTTGTTAGTTTCACCACCTATAGTCCCTAACTTCGGTAATTACTATCCGTGATCCTCCGAGTTGCGAAATATGACCTGCTACCATCCTTCCATTAGCTCCTTCCGTCTCAGCCATCAAAAGGGTGGGTAAAAATGTCATTTACCTTTCATAATTCGTTTTTAATGGCAATAGCTCATAGGATACGTATTTTATCACATTTATCATCTTCTTCACGCTCCTTTACATAATTATGCAGGAGCAAAAGATGGAGAGAGCTCCTCCACGCTGTACTGAAAGCTAAGCTCCACTCAATTTCAGCCATACACACAATCAATTCAAGAAAGAAGGTCGAAGAGTGTTTGTAATCTTGTATTTAATTGTTCCGATCCCAATTTGATTCGCATTGGTTGAACAACAAAGGAGGATTTGAAGAAGATTTGGGGAATTAAAAAGGGATGGAGAAAGAATAGGAAAACGGAGACGAGGAAGAGGAGGGGTTTAGAAAACGGAGACGAGGAAGACGAGGAAGAACAAGAGCATTATCGCTGTGTGAAAGAATCTCCGACTAGCGGCGGCGGCGGGGAAGAGGAGTTTGATTTCTTCTCGTGGGTTGGGTTGTTGAAGGAATCGGAGATGTGCGCTGCGGATGAAGTGTTTTTCCGGGGACAGATTTTGCCCCTCCTGCATTCCATCAGCTCCGACGGCAACGCCGGAATCCGCTGCAATTCCATGGACCGGTGCCATTCTGTCGGGTACACCACCACGAGCAGCAGAAGTAGCAGCACGAGAGGCCACCAGTCATCTAGCAGCGCTGCCTCCTCATCGAAATGCCAAAAGTCAACATCGAAAGGAAAAAAGCAACGTGATGCAATGGTTGAATCACAATAAATTTTTACAAATCTATCATCTCTCAGGAATTTTTTTAGTAACAAATTTGTTTCCTGTTCACCCAAACTCATTGGCAATAATCTTTGTTCAAACCAGATCCAATTGTGTCTGTAATGGTTCTTCAATTTTAATAGTCTTTGGTCCAATATTTTGGATTGGGAAGTCTATATATTCATCATCTATGTCTTTGAAGGAGACATCTATATGAAGGAAAGAAGGAATGTTTGTTCAAAATCTGGGTAAAGAGAGACAAATTTTAATTGGGTGTCTGTTGGGTTTACAATGACTAGTTGTTCGAACGTCTAAAAATTCTGAAAAATATTATGACAAATCATGGAATAATGGTGGAAAGAAAATAGATTCAATTAACCCATATTGGATCAAAGTCTGAATGGTTACCAAGTAGTCTTTGAACCTGAAGGGTTTAAATGAAGGAATGTGAATGTGAATGTGAATATGCCAAATGACATTTCTATCCCTATTTTAGACGGTTTAAACGGCAGGAACTAACGGAAAGATGGTAGCAGGTCTCCTTTTGTAATTCAGAGGATCACAGATGGTAATTACGGAAGTTAGGGACTATAGGTGGTGAAACCACCAAATTCGAGGGACATTTGCTGGTATTTACTCTATAATAAATAACTAAAAGTACACAAATAAGAAAAAAAAAATGTACACAGATGGCTGCCTTTGTCAGTTTTAGCAAGCTTTCTATATTAAGAAAGCTTGCTAGACACATAGCACAAAAATTAAAACAAAAAGAAATTTAAAATGCCACTTCAATGACCATGTCATTTAGCAAGTGGAAGCATTTTTTTGGATGAGGATAGCCTTATACTATGGGTACCATATTGTTTCAATTCTTACTGGATAGAGAGTTTCTTTGTTTAACTAATGATTTAAACTTAGCTCCGGCACTGATTATGATGGATGGTATGTATGCAGTTAAGAAAGCATTATATGCTGTATGTAATTTTGATATTGACCTTTTACTGGTCAGATACAATCTGCCAATGATATGTCCACCCCAGGATTGGGCCGCGTCAACTGGAGGGGAGCCCCCTCGAACACTATCCGATCTTAAAGCCGGGCACTTAACTGTATTAATAGGAGACTTTTATTATTTATATAATTGGTATAACCTAATAACATCCCTTAATTTAAACCATTTTAATATACATGTAGGAAGGGGTCCCCGGGGATTGTGCGACGTCATGAACAAGTTACAGAGTGAGGGGTTTGAGATAAATATGGACGTATTAAAATTTATAAAGGTGAATTGCAGTGATTTAGTGGAATCCGGGCTACTTATGCCTCTGTTTCTATCACGCGTAAATATACCCGAAGCTATATATAGGTATTGAATCATATGAGAACAAGTCCGTAGGAGAAAACTAAGAACTAGTCATAAACTTACATCTGGAAAAATTAAACGCACCAGATCAAATTTTAAAATTAAACAAAAAAAAACTCGGTGGTAGTTTTGTAATAATCATAAATTTTACTATGCAAACGTGAACACTAAAATATGCAATTTTTAGACTTTTTCATATTTACACATTTAGTGTTAACGTTTTGCACATTTAGTGTTAATATTTTGCGTATTTAGTATTAAAAGTTTGCACTTGAAAACATGCGAAAGTACAATGCAACTAGGGTTTCGATTTTAGAGTTTTATGACTGAATTTTTTTTTATTTTATTTGGTCCAGTAGATCACTTTTTACTGCTTAAGGTCTAACATTTACATTTAGATTTAAAATATAGTATTTTCGTTGATTTTATAGAATTTACCAGTTTTGCATATTTAGTTGTAAAATATTGCATATTTAAGTGTTAAAGTTTGCATAGTGGAGTTGATGATAATTATGAAACTAAATTGATTCTTATTTCTCTCCTATGGAAGTGTTCTCAGCTCACATGATCCATATATATATATATATATATATATATATATATATATATATATATATATATATATATATATATATA